AAAATCTCTCTCTCTCTCTCTCTCTCTCTCTCTCTCTCTCTCTCTCTCTCTCTCTCTCTCTCTCTCTCTCAGACACACACACACACACAACTCTCTCAGTTAGATATCCACCTGCATAGACTTCTGCAGAGTGATGCGTTTTCTTCCTGTTGCTGCTGTTTTAGATGACTGAAATCTTGTCATGGAGGGAAGAACATGTAAATCTTACATGAGAACAATAGTCACAAGTCTAATAATAATGTTGCATCATTGACAAAAACTATGCTCATCACTGCTCGGGGCTGTTGAATTAATGGCCCTTCGTAATTGAAACTTTTGTCCTTGCACCGGTTATCATTGTTTGCCTCTCTCTTCCTTTGGGTGAGTACAGGCCATCTTCTATCTGGGGCTTGCTGTACTTTCCTCTCAACAAAGATTTCAATGAAGAAAAGAGATTCCTTCACCAAAGTTTACAGTGAGAATGGACCATCCATGCGCTGCAATTGATGCAGATCAATAAGATCTGCAGATGTGTGAATCTTGTGCTGAGATATATTTATTGCTGATATTATGATTTGCAGCAATCTTTCAGAAAGCATAATGCATCACAGTGGTTCATATGACAACAGCTGCACCTCCTCCTTTCTTTCTTTCTCTCAATTACTGCTAAATAAATTTCAGTAAATATAATCTTTAATAACTTTAATAACTTATAATAATTTAAAAAAAATTAAGAAATTAAATTACATAAAGTGACATATATGATATTCATATGTAAGTTCAAACTTGAGATCTATCATTTATTTAATATAATAATAATCAATTCGGATATCTCAACATAAACTAATGGCTAAGGTTATAATAGTGAAATGTTTACAGGTAAAAATGAGCCTCATTAAATCCTGCATCCTGTTGGCGCACGTAAACGCACCTACTAGTCCGTTACTGTCCCGTCTACCCGTGTCAGAACCACTTGCGCCTTGTCACAGCCCTCTGGGCCCACCATCACGATAGGGTACGGACGACCTTGCAAGTTACACCGGATCCGATCCAACCAACGCAAGGACCCAACCCGAAATGGACGGCCGGTAGATCCGAGTTCGTGCAAACGGACGGTCTGATGTGAAGAGTGCTTCTACAATATCTTTTACAATGTAGCTTTGATCAAATCTATTGCTGGTCCGCTAGCCATCTCATCACGCAGCCCGCACGTAAGTCGCCTTCCTTCTTCCCGGTCGCCATTTCTCGCGCTCTGCGCCGTTTACCACGTCCGCGATCACGTCGCTATGATTACGTCGCAAGAGCACCTCCGTCCTATCTCGTTGTTCATCCGCATCAAAACTTCCCAGTTTCTGCAGTTGCGTTGAGTTCCTACTCCTTTTGCTTTGCTGTTGGGAAGTGGATGAGGTGGGAGACAGGGATGGGCTCTCGCTGCTCCGAAGAGGACCGTGCGGAGGCGGCAGCAGTCCTAGGCGGCCGAGCTCTTGACTTCCTTCTGGCCCGAAGCCACGTGTCCTCCTCTGATCATCTCGATGCCGTCGGCGAAGGCGTGCCCGACCTCCAGACCAAGCTCCAGAGCCTCGTCGAGGGCCACGGCTCGGTGTGGGCCTGCGCAGTCTTCTGGCAGATCTCCCGGTCCCGGTCCGGCGAGTTGGTCCTCAGATGGGGTGACGGCCACTGCCGCGAGCTTGTCTCCGGCGTTGACGACGATGGCACCAACGGTCGGTACC